CACACACACACACACACACACATACACACACACGGCACATAGGCAAAATATCAATACACACAAAATAATAACACATAAGCTTGTTTATTTGTTTATATATGATATGTATGTGTGAATGTGTATGTTCACGTGGGGGGTATCATTTACATGAAAGAGCCATAGTGTTGGTCCTTGCCTTAAACCTTGTTTGAGACAGAGTATCATTGTTTGCAATCGTGTACTCTGCACTAGCTGGCTCAAGAGCCTCTGGGCATTCCCCTGTCTCTCTCTCCAGTCTTGCTTTAGGAGCGCTGGGATAACAGATGGGGGCTACTGTGTCTGGCTTACATGGGTCCTGGGGATTTGAACCTTGGTCTTTATGCTAGCATGGCAAGTGCTTTATCCACTGAGCCACCCTCCTAATCCAATTAGAATACTTTTTGAGGTTTTCTTTATTTTTAGTTTATCTGTATGGCTGTTTGCCTGCACCTCTGTCTGGGCATCACATTTCAGATCCTTGGAACTGGATCTGACACCTCTGTCTGGGCCATGAGGTGTCAGATCCCTGGAAATGGAGTTACTGACAGTCATGAGCTCCCATCTCTTCAGCCATCCTCACTTTTTTGAGACAGGGGGTTGCATAAGCTGGTCTTGAACTTGGGATCCTTCTGCCTCAGCAGCCGGAGCCATGCGGTCACAGGTGTGCCCCCAAATATGTGGCTCATCAAAATGATCAAAAAGAAACTTTTTATCTGCATGTATACTGCATAAAATGACAACAGGATGGCTCCCTGGCGTGACTGAAGAGAAGGGTTTCATTGAAGACACGAGGGAGAGAACAGCCAGAGGCATCTGGAAGAGTCCAGAGCAGACAGAGCACGGAGTAGACAGAGCATGGCCAGCAGACTGGACCTTGCCGTGAGAGAAGCAGAAGCAGATCAGAGGGGGAGAGAGGGAGAGAGTGTGGGCAAGAAAGAGAGGGCAAAAGAGTGACAAAGAGAAAGAGACCATAGCCCAAACAGCGGGGGTTATAAAGAGAAATGAGGGGCTGGGGGAAGAGTGTGTGTGAAGGACTAGGTACCCGTGCTACAGAGGAAGCATGGAAGCCAGCAAGCAATCTGGAATGCTAACAGGCACCACAGACAGCCATTCGTCTCTTCTGTCTGAGGGGCACAGCTCTTTGGTAGAGGGAAACTGCCTCACGAGTTTTGAGGAATGCCACTTTTTGTCCAATGGTCAGAATTTGGGGAAATGGAGTTTCCTTTGGACCTGACATACACAATGTATTTTGATTGTTTCTACCCCATCCCCATCTTCAGCTCCCCCCATGACCCACCACCCATATCCCTCTTTTTGGTTATTGTTACTATTAATAGCCCCCCCCCAAGTCCAGCAGTGCTGGTCATGTGCCAATCGCTACGATGGAGCCATCTGCTGGGAGTGGGCAACGCCCCAGTGGTCACATTGCAAAGAAAAGTGACTAACTCTTTTTCAGAAGCCATCAACCGCCAACAGCTCCTCAGCTAGGGCTGGGGACCCAGGAGCCCTCTCCCATCCATGCTGGAATGTGGCCTCCCTCGGTCTTGTACAGGTTGTATGCTGGCAACCACAGCTGCTATGAATCACGGGTACAACAGTCCCGTCCTGTCCAGCAGCCAGCAATGTAGCAGCTCTCATCTCCATCCTCCAGCTCTTAGTCTCTACACCCGTTCTTTGGGGATGTTTCCTAAGCCTTGAACTGTGGGAAGTTGGTAGAGGTGACCCATCCAAGGCTGAGCACCTGTTGTCACTTGTTCTCAGTATATCAACCAGTTTTGAGCCTCTGTGTTAGCCACCGCCCACTGCAAAAAGGAGCTCCTCCAGTCAAGGTAAAGAGCATCAAAAGTCTGTGAGTATAAGCATAGACTAGGAAGGAAGTTTGACATGACCGTTTAGTGAATCAGCACCATAGGTCTCACTCCAGGGTCTATGATCTCTCAAGTCATAGGCTTTTGGCCAGGTTTACAGTGCCATACACAGACTCCCCTCTGTGGAGCAGGTCTCAGTTCCAATCAGAAAATGACTGGTTACTCCCATAGCCATCAAGCCACTATTGCCCCAGAGGCTGTAACTTTCGGGGCAGTTCAGTACTCCAGGGTGCAGAGCCCAACCCTGGAGAAGACCATTTTCTCTTCCGGCAGTCTGCGAGGCACCTTCCAGCACCGTGAGAGCCAGCCAGCTGGGAGAGAATTTCCTGAACAGTTGGAGACTGATTTCTGGATGTTCTGTAACCAAAGCGTGCAAGTGCCACAGAGTCCAGAAGAGGGAGCTGGACCCCCTGGAGCTGGAGTTGCAGCCAGTTGTGAGCCACGTGAAGTAGGTGCAGGGAACTGAAACTCTTCCTCTGGAAGAGCAGCAAGCACTCTACCCACTCCCCAGCCCCCAGGCAGGGCTTCTCTGTGGCTTTGGAGCCTGTCCTGGAACTAGCTCTGTAGACCAGGCTGGCCTCGAACTCACAGAGATCCGCCTGCCTCTGCCTCCCAAGTGCTGGGTTTAAAGGCGTGCGCCACCACCTTCCAGCCACAGCAAGGATTCTTTCTTAGTAATCATTGAGTCATCTCTCCAGCTAACTTTCCTTTATAACAAAGAACACTTAGCAACTGTACCCAGCTACAAAACAATGCTTAGGACAGATGATCGTTTCTTATTTTAGTGAGCAATATAAAGTATTCTATTGATTATTATTATTATTATTATCATCGCTGTCGTTGTCATCATCATCATTATATGGTGTGTATGTATCTTAGTGTATGCATGCCCCACGGTACATGTGTGGAAGTCAGAAGACAGCTTTCAGTCCAGCATGTGAGGTCGGGTGACTAAACTTGGACGGTTCACCTCGGTGGCAAGGGCCTTTACCTACTGAGTCATCTTGCCAACCTGTAAAACACTTCTTTTTTTTCCATTTATTTATTTATTAAAGATTTCTGTCTCTTCCCTAAAATACTTCTTATTATATTCTTTGTTGTTTGTTTGTTTGAGATAGGGTCTTGCAGCCTGGGCTGGCCTTGAATTCATGGTTCTCCTGACTCACCTTTCCCAGTGTGGAAGTGTGTGCACCATGCCAGGCTCCCGGGATAGTCTTAGGAAGATAGTAAGCTGCTAGGACAAGGAAGACAAACACTGATGGAGATGGGCAGAGCAGGTGTGCAGGGCTAGGTGCGTGAAGCCTGGCCAGGGGGACCGCAGTGAGCATTCTGTCTGGAGTTCCTCCTCTATCCACCCTGTGAGTGGGATCGGTGGGCCCAGGCAGTAGAGGCTCTGTCACTCATCCCGGGGACCCAGACTTCCTCCTGCGTCCCCTCTTCCCACGTCGCTCCAGAGAAAAATCAAGATTAATTCCATCTAGACAAGCAAAGGTTGGTGTGACACACTGGAGTGACAGACAAGGCTTAGGAGCTCAGGCTCTGCCAAAGGCAGGTCTGGGCTTGGCTCTTGGTTCGGCTGCGGGCCGTCTGTGTACTCTGAGCCACAGTGTCTACATCTCTAAATGGAGGTAATAAAAACAGCAGTCTTCCTGGGTTAGATGACTCTGACCATACAGAAACTGGCACAGAAATCTGGGTGCATAGAAAGCTTTTGATAAACCGGAACTGTGATTATTACTATTAATTAATATTAGTAGTATTTTAGCTGAGCGTCGGCAATGGCGGAGCAGGGAAGTTGGAGCGGGGGACAGTCAGGAATGGTGTTTATACACAGAGAAGTGTTAAATGGTACAAGCTGGGGTGCGGATGTTGGGGTGGGGAGAGACGTTGAGAAAGGCAGATGGAAACTGGCCCCTCCTAACTAGGTGATGAAGCTGGATGATACAAGACAGTTCCAAGTGGGAGGGCCCAGTGCCCCTGGGAACAGAGAAGCAGTCACACTTGTCAAACAGGGATGAGATGTGGGGAGGATGCTGGGGCTCTCCACTGGAACTGTGACCGAGGGTGAGGGGGTGATCTTGTGCTGACCCTCCTCCCTCACTAGAGCTGCCCTGGCCCCTGGGGAAGGGCAAGCAGCACAGTGACCATGAACTCTTACAGATCCACACGGCCCTCCGTTCAGGTAAACAGGATGGGTGTCTGGGTCAGCTCCCAAAAGAGGCTTGGTCTTTCCCGCCTACTCTTCCCCTGGGGGTAGCTGACCCGCCCAGCTCCCCTGCTCCTCGCCCAGGGCCCCTGAGCTCTCCATGACAGGTGCCCAAACCCTTCCTGGCTTGGCTGCTCAGAGGTGTTCCACTCCTTCAATACCAAAGTCCTCAGACCTTAACAGACGTTCCAGAGTTCCCAATGTCTCCTGGGCTGGGCAAGAACAGTCACCTGCAGGTGGGGAGGCATGCTAGGGGAGAGATGAGAGCAGGGAATGCCTGCTGAACTTAAGAAGGTGCCAAGAAAGGGCCACCTCTTTCCTGTCCTCATGCCCCCTGATCTTGCTGGCTTACCTGGGATGGGTCCCCTATCGTTGTTGCTTCCCTGACCTTCTATCCCTGGGGTCTCACCTGCTTGTGATTCCTGTTTCCTAAGTACCCCCACCCTGCCACCTCCAGAAGACATCAACACCTATCTCCTCAGATGCTCCGGTCCCCACCCTGTGCCCCAAATTCCTGTGGTTAGGCAACTGGAACACTTTTGCATCCGTCTCAACCTCGTCTTCCCCCTCCCTCCCTTATGTCCGGCTGGCTCTCTGTTTCAACACAGGCTCTCACTCACAATTAAGCTTCATTACCCTATCGGTGGGTAGGCCCTGAGTCACTGGAGGAGGGACCTTGTGCTGCCCAGCCCTGCTACCTTCTCCCAACCTACAGTATAAGGGGCAGTGGCAAGAAGGACGATTCTGGAAAGCAGGGGAGTCTGGGAAGAGAGAGAGAAGGGCTGTGGGTCCTGAGGGAGGAAGAGCAGGAAAGCAGAGGAAGAAAGAAAGGCAGGAGGTTCCATAGTCCAGAGGAAGAGAGAAGGGAGCAAGAACCACATTGGGCTGCAAAGATCCTCAGGGGAGAGATGAAGCTGAGAGGGTCCCTGGCCTGTCTCCTGCTGACCCTGTGTCTGGGGAGTGGGACAGCCAGCCCACTGCAGAATGGAGGAGAAGGCATAGGAGCAAGCGCTTCTCAAGGAATGGGAGATGCTGTTAGCCAGGGAGTTGGAGAGGCTGTGGGCCAAGGGGCCAAAGAAGCAGCCAGCTCCGGGATCCAGGATGCCCTTGGTCAGGGGCATGGAGAGGAAGGCGGCTATGCACTGAGGGGGGCCAGAGGGGATGCTTTCGACCACAGGCTCGGGGAAGCAGCACGATCTCTGGGGAACAGTGGCAACCAGGTTGGCAGACAGGCCGAGGATGTCATTCGACGCGGGATGGACGCTGTCCACAACTCCGAGTCTTGGGTGAGTGGTCGGGAAGCTGGGAGTACCGATGGGGCTGAGGGTGGCTGCAGCAGGAATCCTGAGAAGTGGGTCAGAGGGCGACCAGATGGCTCCTTGGTGGCTGCCTGGGACTCTTTCTTTTGCTGTTGTGAGTCTTCTACCGTATAGACTCCCCCCCCCCCATTGTGTTGGTTCCCTCTCTCTTGTGAGTGTCAGAGATGGGCACACTAAGGATGTGTGTGTTGTCCTTTCAGGGGACATCTGGAGGCCACGGAATGCTTGGCTCTCAAGGAGGCCATGGTAATCCCGGTGGTCAAGGGACTCCCTGGGCCTCACAAGGCAACTTTGGAACCAACTCTCTGGGTGGCTCTATGGGTCAGGGTGGCGATGGCAGGTCATTCAACTATGAGGCCAGTGCTCAGGTAAAGTCACCACCCAGATCCATCCATTGATCCTGCCCTCCCCACCTCTTCTTATCCTCTGGTTTCTAAACTGGGTTTCACCCTCCCTGCAGGGAGCCGTGGCTCAACCTGGCTACGGGTCAGTGAGAGGCAGCAACCAGAACTCAGGGGTAAGATAGAAGAGTGCATGGGACAGAACAGGGGAAGGACAAAGAGGAAAGGAAGAGGGGGAGGGAAGGGATGGAGGTCACAGGCCAGGGAAGATGGAGGGAAGTGGAAGGGGGCGAGGAAGTCAGGACACAGGCGGCAAAGAGGCCTGGCCTGTGGAGGTGGCTTTGACACTCTGCCCTTGGGTGTCCCCTTCCATTCACAGTGTACCAACCCCCCACCATCTGACTCCCGTGAAAGCAACTATGGGGTAAGAGGAGCCTGTGGTTCAGGACTGGGGAGGCTGGGATGCACTGCTTCCTAGGTGGGCTGAGGTCGTGCAAGGCCAAGGAAGGGGTCAAGGACAAGCGCAGGGGCCCTGTTCTTACCTGTTGCTCTGTTCTTCTGCCCACAGGGAAGCAGCAGTGGTGGTGGCAATGGTGGCCATGGTAGCAGCAGTGGCAATAGTCAAGGTGGCAGCAATGGCAATAGTCATGGCAACGGTGGCCATGGCAACGGTGGCCATGGCAACGGTGGCCATGGCAACGGTGGCCACGGCAATGGTGGCCAAGGCAACAGTGGCAACAGTGGTTCTGGGTCCCGGGTAAGTTGCTTCCTTAGGTTGAGGTGACGGTCCTGATGATGAGGACCCAGGCTCTGGGGTTTCCCTTAAAGCTGTCAACAGCTCTAGAGTGGATGGTGTCAGTGACAGTGGTCACCCTGGGACTCCTTCAGCCCTGGTTCCCCACCCGCCCAGCCCTAATAACAGGGTTCCTTACGAAGGGGCACTGACTTCCTACATCACTTACTCCTTTCCTGTGCCTGCTGCCATGGTGGGAGAGTTCTGGTTCAGGTCTAACCTTTGCTCCTTGCTGAGTAGAGCTGAGGGTGAGGGGCCGGAGGAGACAGGTGGGCATAGGATAATAGTGTTCTTTTCAGCACCTAGAAGGCTAAGGCAGGAGGATTGCTGTGAGTTTGAGGCCAACCAGGGCTGCATCTCAAACAAAGTAGACAAGTCTGCCCCCACTTGTTTGGGATGCTTCAGGAAGAATGGGGTGGGGAGAGATGGGTTGTACCCATAGAGACTTAAGAACAGCTGTGATATAGACGGCACCTGTCAGGCCCCCACGTGATGGTGGGAGAACCAGAGGGGCACCTTAGAGATGAGCTACAAGACAGGATGTCCAAACTCGGGCCACACAGGGATGTCACACCTTAGGGGTCTGAGAACGGTCCCAGTCAAAGGAGGTGCTCAGTGGATACACAGTGCTCACCTAGCATGTCCAAAGTCCTGGGTCCCATCACCAATCCCATGTGAGCCAAGTGTGGTGACACACTCCTCTCATCCTAGCTTTCTGGGGGTGGCTGCTGGGTCAGGAGTTAAGGTCATCCATGGCTACGTAATGAGTTCAAGGCTATCCTGGGCTACATGGACAAATGAATAAATAAAGCCGCTGTTGACGCCACCGGTGGCTTTGCATGCAGTCTGAGAACCCTCTCTCTCTATTCAGGACATAGAAACGTCTAATTTTGATGAAGGCTATTCATTCTCCAGGGTAAGGACTCTAGGGTATCCCGTTTTGTTCTAAGAAGGGGTGCATAAAGAAGGGTTGGGTCAGAGCGGGCTCTAGCCTGCCCCCTAGTGGCAGTTCTTTAAAACAATTTTTTATGAGGTGTGTATGTGTATGTAGGTACGTGTTCATGTGTGCAGGTGCCCATGGAGGCCAGACTGATGGGTCTCTGAAGCTGCAGTTACAGGCGATTGTGAGCTGCCCAACATGGGCACTGGGAACCGAACTCGGGTCCTCTGGAAGAGTATGTGCTCCTAACCTCTGAGTCATCTCTTCAGCCTCCCCACCAATGGCAGCGTCTTAGAGTCATGTGCATGTGTGAGCATTTCCGTGTGTGTGTGTTGGAGAGCTAACAGCTCAGACCCCGAAGGGCACGGTGTATTTCTAAACCCTGGGCCATACTTGGCCTTCTTCTTGTACTAAAGTTCGGCCTCTAGCAACCAGTTGGCCATAGGTGAGGAAAGAATGGAGACTGGAGAGATGGCTGGGGACTCCTGGGTCCCTCTGCGCACACGACACTATGAGGATTCTTTCCTTGCAGGGAACTGGCTCGTCCTCATCCTCGGGCAGCAGAGGTGGAAGTGGTGGTGGGAACAGACCCGAGGTGAGTGGCCAGGGTGTACATGTGGACCCAGTTGCTGGAAGAGGAGTCGGGGTGGGGCTTGGCTGAACGTGGGGGGCATTGCTGCCTCCCGAGGGGAGCTGATTGCTATGCTGACATGGGGGCTGAGATTGTAGATCACTGGGAGATTGAGAAAAAAATCTTTCCTCCACAGTGTGACAACCCAGGGGATGATGCACGCACGGCTGGAGGATCTGGGAATCAGGTGAGAGACAAACTTTTTGTTATTGTGATTGTGCTGTGGCCTCAGGAGCACGCTCTGCTCAGCCATCATTACTGATGCTCACCTCCATCCAATCCCTGCAGGGAACCCAAGCATAGACCCCTAAAAACCCAAGTCTCCTAAGTCACAGTGGACAACTGGACAGCATTCCTCATGTGTGTGCGAGCATGCATGTGTGAGCTGCCAGGGATTGAACCATGGGCCTTATTCTTGCTAGGCATCCGCTTTACCACTGAGCCACAGCCCTTCACTGGGGCATTCTGGGCAGGTGCTCTAACTGCTGAGCAGCCATGCCCTCCCTAGCCCCTCAGTGCTAAATTCTAGGCAAATTTACCACCTTGGAACTGGTCTTCATTTTCTGTTCTTTCTTCCTTTCTTCCTTTCTTCCTTTCTTCCTTTCTTCCTTTCTTCCTTCCTTCCTTCCTTCCTTCCTTCCTTCCTTCCTTCCTTCCTTCCTTCCTTTTCTTTCTTTTTTAGACAAGACCTCCCTAACAGGGTCGGTTCAACTGGCCTGAAACACAGAACAATCCTTTTGCCTTAGCTTTGTAAATGCTGAGATTGCAGGCATAAACCACAAAGCCCAGCTTCTTTTAGCTTCTATCTTGAGACTGGGGCTCACTAAGTTCCTTAGGCTGGCCTTGAACTCCCTAAACAGTAGCCCAAACAGGCCTTAAACACGGATGGCAAACCCTATGCCTTATGCTTGGCTTTACATCCAGACGAGGCTACGAGAAATTCCTGCGTAAACCAGTCTGATTTCATTTATTTTTGAGAAAGGCCCTCTCTCACTCAAGCCCAGGCTAACTTAAGACTTTTGATCTTCCTGCCTCTGTCTCTCGAGTGCCAGAGTCACAGGTGTGACAGACATTTCAAACATCCCATCCCTGGCCGGTGGCCAGAATCCAGTGAACTCTAGTAGCGCACATATGCACCCTCCTTAGCTATTCTGGAAATCTGGGCACTAGGGTCAGTACCCGCAGTGATGCTGGCTGAGCAAGTGTGACACTCCTGTCCACACCTAGAGGTCTTGTGCAAAGTGCAGGTTGAGCCAGCAGATCTGGTGTGGGGCTGGGACTCTGAGTTTCTCATCCGTTCCCTGGAGATAATGAGGTTTCTGGGCTGGGCCCTGGTGGCAGCGGAGGTCACTGGGAAAGGGGCAGGATGAGAAGGATGGACAGGCGAGAAAGACTGAGCAGAGGCAGCTCTCCGAAGAACCTGTATATTAGGGTGCTGACTTTTATGAGCTCCCAGGTTTTGAGAGGAACTCTTTCAGGTTTTTAACTCTTGTTCCTTTATTATTTATTTATTTAGAGACAGGGATTCTCCATGCAACTGACCGGGCTGTCCTCGAACTCACTCTCTAGACCAGGCTCCCTTTGAACTCACCGATAACCACCTTTCTCTGCTTTCCAAACGCTGGGATCAAAGGCATGTGCCACCACTGCCCAGTTGATTTATTTTTTTAAATCACTTTTAAGAACAAAGGGAGTCAGCTTTAGTACCAGCACGTGGGAGGCAGAGGCAGGCAGATCTCTGTGAGATCCAGGAAAACCAGGGCTAGAGTGAAACTCTGTCCTGAAAAACAAAACAAACAGAAAAGAGCAAATACCAAAGGGAGTCAACAACGTCATGGCTGTTTCTGTGGTCGCTGCCATTGGTGTATTGTTTTATTTTTTAAATATTTATTTATTTATTATGTATACATTATTCTGTGTATGCCTGCAGGCCAGAAGAGGGCACCAGACCCCATTACAGATAATTGTGAGCCACAATGTGGTTGCTGGGAATTGAACTCAGGACCTTTGGAAGAACAGGCAATGCTCTTAACCTCTGAGCCATCTCTATCTCCCAGGTGTATTACTTTAAATGTCTCTACTATTCTCTAGTATTTACAAGTACTTACATAATTTTATTTTTTTCTCCTTTTCTTCCTTTTATGTTACTTTAGCAGAGAACAGGGAGATCCCAGAGGTCTCAGGGGACATCAGGGCAGGGGGACGGCAGCTTTTGAGAGTAGATACTTTGCGTGTACCAGTCTTCGGTAGTAATACTAACAAGGTGTAACACCCGATTTTGTGTTACACCCTTGGTACAGTTCGTGCGCCACTGTACCGTACACGAGTCGAGCAAGGGCCTGGAGATTGAAAGAACACACAGAGAGACCAGGGTCATTCGAAAGGAGATCAGCCGAATGCCGTTTATTCAGACTTGGGGAAATCCTTATGTACCTAACTGCTGCACAAGGATCTCCGCCCAGGCAGGTGGGAAATTACCATATTAACAAAGGAGTAAAAGACCTGCAGCTAAACACCAGAAGGGGCAGGGAGAGCACAGAAACACACCGGAAGCTTAGTTAGCTGAACATAAACTATCCCCGCGAATGCACCCCAGGAATAAGGGAGACCAGGGCCCTACAACAAGGCAGGTATCCCACATTCTGGCCAGGTCCCCAGTGGGAATGAGGAACAGACAATGGAGCTGCTGATCTCTAACTGGGGAGGTGCCTAAGCAGCATAGCCACATGTGTGCCGTCACCAGCGGCTACCTCCCTTCTGCCTGGTACAGGCACCAGCGGCCACCCCTTCCCGCCCAATGAAGGCACCAGCAGCCATCCCCTTCCCGCCCCGTGCAGGCACCGGTGGCCACCCCTTTCCGCCCCGTACAGGCACCAGCGGCCACCCCATTTCTGCCCAGTGCAGACACCTGGAGTTTCTAGTCTGTCAGTTTAGTCCAGCAGCCCGGCCAGGGGAAGATGGAAATGACTTAGTCATACTTCTGTGGGTTCTGGAGAAATGGATAGTAGCAGATGCTGATGTATTAGTAAGCATGAGTGAGCAGTCACCGGCCCACCCCTGAGATGTTGGAGCAATATCTAGAGGAGTCTCAGGAGGGAAGGCGCTGCTCACACTCCTCTCTCCACCCTGGCACCCCTGCACCCCTCTATCCTACCTTCCCTTAAACTGACTTCTGTGCTTTATGTCTGTCTCCCTAGGAAAGTAGAGAAAGCAGCCGTCTCCTTGGGGGCTCCCATGACTACCAGGTGAGTCAGGGGTCAGGGTGGCTTAGCAGAAGGGACAGTAGAGAGTGGGACAGAATGCCAAGAGAAAAAAAATTTAAGGACTGCCTAATCTATAGCGTGTTCAACGCTAGTTGAACTAGCAACTTGGAGAGAGTCTATTGTAAAAAATAAAAGATAACTAGGGTGTGGCTCAGTGGTAGAGCACCTGCCTAGAATCCCCCAGTGAGGGGCTGGGGTGTGGCTCAGTGGTAGAGCCCCTGCCTAGAATCCCCCAGTGAGGAGCTGGGGTGTGGCTCAGTGGTAGAGCCCCTGCCTAGAATCCCCCAGTGAGGGGCTGGGGTATGGCTCAGTGGTAGAGCCCCTTCCTAGAATCCCCCCAGTGAGGGGCTGGGGTGTGGCTCAGTGGTAGAGCCCTTGCCTAGAATCCCACAGTGAGGGGCTGGGGGTGTGGCTCAGTGGTAGAGCCCCTGCTCAACATACGTAAAACCCTAGATTCAATTCCCAGTGATTCCTGCTCCACCCATAGAGGTCAAGAGAATATGCATGCATATGTGTGTATATATACATATACATATGTTCATTTCAATATACCTAATACATAAATATTGAGAAGTAGAAAATTGCTGAACTTTGGGTATCAGGGTGGGGGTTAAAAGTCAAGTCCACCGCTCATCATCTATGATTTTCGGACAAGTCAATTGACCTCTTAGTGAACCCTGATCTGCTCACCTACCTTAGCAACTCTAGACTTTTCTGTACCATAATCAAACCCAGGTGATTCAGGGTCCAGACAAGCAGACAGAACTGACACTGTTGGCCACTTCCGGAGAAATAAAGTCACCTCAATATGACCTACGCTGTGGTGCTTGGCACACAGTGGGGCCACACGTTTCTCATCATTCTCACTGGTCTTTGTCGGGGCCAGGCAGAAGAAAGTGGAGGCAAGCTGGGCAATGGTGGCGCACGCCTTCAATCCTAGCACTCAGGAGGCAGAGGCAGGCGGATCTCTGAGTTCGAGGCCAGCCTGATCTACAATAGCTAGCTAGTTCCAGGACAGGCTCCAAAGCCACAGAGAAACCCTGTCTCGAAAAACCAAAAAAAAAAAAAGGCAATGGAGGCGAAAATGTGGCAGTCAGGCATGGTGGATCACCATCACTCCTGTAAGCCTGGGAGGCAACGCAGGGGGATCACTGCAAGTTCAAGGCCAGCCTGGGCTACACAGTGAATGCACGTCTCAAGAGATCAGGTCAGCTGTGTGGGTGAAGTCATTGTTGAGCTGGGAGTTCAGGCGTGGGAGAGAGAAGAGATGTGGGGCCAGTGGAGGAGATGGGCGGGCCTGGAATAGTCTGGCAGGTGGACATGAGCCTTGAACACGGCTTCCTTCCAGCTTCCCAGGAGCATGGGTACAATGGGGACGATGGGCGCAATGAAGCTGTCAGTGGACTCAAAACCTTGGTGAGTGGCCGTACTTACTCCACCTTGGGCTGGGACTGGGGTGCCAGGCATCCTTGTGTCTTGTTCCTTCCTGACACCGTATCTCCTGCCTCTTGCTCACAAAGCAGACTCTTAACTTCCCGCTGTTTCTCATCCATTCCTTAGAACTCTGACCCGTCTTCTTCGCCTTTCAACTTTGACAGTTTCTGGGAGGTAAGTTTGGCAAGCTTGCTCGGCACCACTGAGGAGAAGCAACCCCACTTCCTCAGTCCCCCACATCCCAAGAAAAAGCCACGGCCTTGACCTTCTCCTTTAATATCTTTAAAATTTCATGCATATGAGTGCTTGGCTTGCACATATGTTTGTGTGCACACATATGTGTACTTGGTGTCAGCAGAGGCCAGAAGAGAGCATCGGATTTCCTGGAACTGGAGTTACAGATGGCTGTGAGCCACCATGTGGTTGCTGGGAATAGAACTCAGGACCTCTGGGGAGAGCATCCTGAGCTCTTAACCACGGAGCCATCTCTCCAGCTCAGCCCTTGACCTTTTCTGGCTAAAAACAAAACAAAACAAACACTGTTTCATTTCCTTTTGTTTTCCCTGCAGAATTTTAAATCCAAGATGCCTTTTATTAACTGGGATGCCATAAACAAGGTAAGGGCCCGAAGGCCACGCCCTCGCTGATTTGAGAGCAGAGGACCAGAGAGGAGAGCTAGCCGCCTTCATGGTGTGGCAGGGGGTAGTAACGAAGACTGCTAAGGTGTTAAGGCAAACACTCAAACTGAATGGGTCCACAAGTAGGGGGCCATGGAGACCTGGGAAGATAGGGTGAACCCAGAAATTGTTGGGCACTTGCAATGAGCAGTGGGGGGGGTCTTTAATATCTCAGCTTAAAGAACCAGATGAATCGTCAATCTCAGTCTCCCCTTTAGACCTGTGAGATGCAGGCTTGTAGTCCCTGCAATTTGGGAAGAAAGGGTGGTAGGGCTGGCAAATTTGAGGCCACCCTGAACTACAGAGTGAGTTCATAACCTGCTTAGGCAATTTAAGGAGATAATGTCTCAAAATTAAAACCCATCAGTGAAGGTCTGAGTTGAAACTCAGTGTGGAGTCCCTTCATAGAATCCCCCAGTGAGGGGTTAGGGGCATGGTTCAGTGGTAGAGCATCTGCCTAGTCTTCCCTAGTGAGGGGCTGGGGGTGTGGCTTAGTGGTAGAGCCCCTGCTTAGAATTCCCCAGTGAGGGACTGGGAATGTGGCTTAGTGGTAGAGCCCTGCCTAGAATCCCCCAGTGAGGGGCTGGGGCCTGGCTCAGTGGTAGAGCCCCTGCCTAGAATTCCCCAGTGAGGGGCTGGGGATGTGGCTTAGTGGTAGAGCCCCTGCCTACAATCCCCCGGTGAGGGGCTGAGTGCATGGCCCAGTGGTAGAGCTGCTTACCTAACACGGGTGAAACTCTCTGTTCAATCCCCAGCTCTACACAAAAGGGATTAGGCAGACTGAGTAGACACGATCCTCGGGAATTTGCTGCATGAGGAGTCGCATGGATGTACAAAGCCATATGTAGACTAAAAAACCCAGAGAGACAAGGAAAATGGACAGGGGGAGCTGCTGAGAACCAGATGCATGACAGGTCTTGGGAGAGACCCTGCTAGTGTGTAAGCCTCACAGCTCGGCAGAGAAACCTTTTCTCCTCCCTGCCCTACCCATCCCTCTCACAGTGGATGCCCCTGGCCAGGATAACTTGACAACATGACAATTTGTTGGGAAATGAGAGGATGAAGGGCAAAGAGAAACCCGAATTCTCCAGGCAGAAGCTGGGACTGCGGGCGGCAAATGGGCCTGTTATGCCACTTTTAAAAAGCTAACTTGGAGTTTATTTTTCCTTTTTTTTTTTTAAAGTTTACTTTAAAAAAATTTTTCAGTTTTGTTATTTGTGTCTGTCTCTGTGTGTTGGGAAGCATTACCCATGGAGGCCAGAAGAGGGCATTGGATCACTTGGAGCTGGAGTTACAGGCAGTTGTAACCAGCCTGATGTAGTTGCTGGGATCTGAACTCTGTTCGCTACAAGAACAAGTACTCTTAAACACTAAGCCATGCCTCCAGCCCTAATTTTAGTTTAAACAATATTTTTTTTTTCAGTGTTTGGGATTGAACCTAGGACCAAAAGAGATCCAGACAAAGTGTTCTACCACTAAGCTACGCCTCCTTCCCCTCACTGGGGGATTCTAGGCAGGGGCTCTACAGCTGAGCCACATCTCTAGCATTCTTTTTCACTTTTTATTTTGAGACAGAGTTTCACTAAGTTGTCAAGGCAGTCCTTGAACTCATAATCCTCCTGCCTCAGCTTCCTGAGTAGCTGGAATAACAGGGTTGATACACAGACTCAGGAAAATTGGAGGCTGTTAAGAAACAATAGTACACACCCAAGAGGTCCAGGTGACCTTCTCATGAATCACCAAGACACATTAAGAATAAAAAGAACACGAATTACTTGCCAAACTTTAAAAATTGGATGATTTCACTTCATGATTTAGGCGCTTGACTCATCTCGAAAGATCTGGCCCCTCTGGGACCTCTGTCCATGGTACAGAGAATGCCCCTACTCTGTACTGTGGGTTCTCTAGTGACTATTCTGATCTGCCTGTCAAGCATTCTAGTCACCCGATTGGCTCTTTGTGCTGCTGAAATTTTAATCCTTATCCTAAAACACCCTTTATGGGACAGCGGCAGTGGTGAAAGGGGGCAGAATTACCCACATCTCAGGAAAGCCTGTTTGACATCGAGGGAATGGGGCAGCAGTATGAGAGATGGGTATTTCCTGGTTGCAATACATTTCTAGTTTAAATGAACAAAATAAATTCTGTTTTTGTACCTTATTATTTAATTTTGAGACAAAGCCTCCCAATATAGCTCAGGCTAGCCTTGAACTCACTAGGTAGCCTGGGTTTACCTCAAACTTTAGCGTTTCCTGACTCAGCTGCCTGAGTGCTGGGATTCTAGGCATGTACCACCGTACCTTGAGTGAGGGGTCTGCTGATATATATGTCAGCTTCTAGTAGGGCAAGCTTCCTTGCTGAGGTCCTTGAGGGACTAACGATCCCCTAGGAGACCACGGCACAGTCTAGCACTGTACCAAGCATTTTTGCCCATCTGGGGAATGCTAGCTAGGTGGGATTCACAGGGATTGGCCTCCTAGCAGGTCAGTCTAGAAGAAAGGGGTAGCCAGAGATGGGCAGGGTAGGGCATCTGGCTTCCCCAGTGGGAGGGGGTTGGGAGAGCTGAGCCGCCTACTTCAGCCAGTAGGATGAGCGAGGGGAGGGGCATGAGCCCAACCAGGGATATCCGGCTTGTGTGGACTGAGGACAGTGTGTGTCTTAAAAGATCCAGGCAGAATCTGAGAGCAGTGTTCCCTGCTAGCCTTCCCCTGCCCAGTGCTCCCCAGAGATACCCACTCCCCCAGCTTCCTCTTAGAACCCATTTCTCCGTTCAGGACAAAGGGAGCTCTCGCAAACCATGACCACCAGACGAGGAGCTACCAGCTGGATGGGAGTCCCACCATACCCTCAGTCCTGACTCTCACCCTGCCCCCTGGAAATAAACCGTAGCTGTCCCACACTGCTGGTCTCCGTTCCTTTCTTTGCCTCCAGTGTTGCCCTGGGAGGGGGTAGGGAGATGTGTTGGCGACTGGCAGCCCTGGGTCCTGAGGGGTTTGTGACAGTTGTGTTGTATCCAGGAGAGGGACAGAGCCAGGTCTGGGCAGGCACACAGCCTGGACCTCTAGCCGATCGCTCTTGTTCTCTGTTCTCCTTCCAGGTTCTGGTGTACCTAGAGATTCCCAGAATCCCTTGCACACATTAGTTACAAGGCATCTCTTTGAAGGCTGAAAGGAGGCGGGAGCGGGAGTCAGGGCTTTAGGTGAGCAGTGGCGGGGGTTCCCTGCTAACCTGTTCCCCATCTTCTGTTCACAGGGCCACCTCCCACCTCCCAGCACTCGAGCCTTACTCTACTTCCGCAGACTCTGGGAGGTAGGAGAAATCCCACTTTCCAAAGACCTGGGGATCCCGCCCCCCCATCTATCTCCCTCAAAGCAGCTATAGCTCACCTACTGCAAACATCGTGTCTCTTTTGGGGGTGTTTGCTTCGTTTCCCCAGTGTTGGGGACTGAACACAGAGCTCTGCGCGTGCTAAGTAAGCGCTCTGCTACTAAGCGACACCCCCGGCTCCCCCTCCCTCTCTTCAGCTGTAGCCCTAGCTGGCTTTGAGCTTGCTAGCTAGCCCAGCCTGGCCTTGGATTCGCTGTGTAACACAGGCTAGCTTGGAGCTCACAATCCTCTTGACTCGCTTTCTGAGTGCAGGGTTCAGGGTGTGCACCACCCCACCTGAGGGCCTTTCTCATCTTTCAGATAGGCCGTCTCATTATATTTTATCCCCGACGTGGTCTCAAACTCAAGCACCCCCAATTTCCCGCATGCTTGTCTTCATCCACCCCCAAGCCACACCTGGCCTGTCCTACAGCCAGCCACCTGGCACCCTGCCCGGTGTGTTGTCTCTCCTACCCTCTGAGTTCTGGCACCGTGGGCACTGTCTCATCTCCTCTTCTCCTTCCAGAATTTCAAACGCAAGACTCCTTTCTTCAACTGGAAGCAGATTGAGGTAAGGGGGTGGGGGGAGGCAGCTTAGCTCTAGGGGCTCAGGGTTGGCAGTCCCTTGATAGGTAGATGGCTTCCCGATGTCTGTGGTGAGGAAGGACACCTTCCCTTCCCACTTTCTTTGGATTAAGCAACCCTGAGTTGGGTGGAGCAGGAGTGAGAGGGAAGCCATGAGTCACCTGAGCAGGAACAGGGTGGGAGGGGTCTCCTGAGGATAAAACCCCAGGGCCCCGGAGGCTTGGGACTCATCGCACCGGAGCAGAACCATGAAGTCAGCCACCTTCTCCGCTCTGCTGCTTATCCTGCTGGGCGTGGCCCGGTGCGGAGACAGCCACAGCTGGGTGGGTACCAAGGGCAAGTGGGTGGAGGGGGATCCCCAAGATGGGGAGGAAGAAAGGACCTGGGAATCCACTCTCAAGCAATGGCAAAGGGCTACAGGGGAGGAAGACGAGGAGAATCAGGCGTTCAGGGTGGATGTAGGAGGCCTTAGCAGTTGGGTCTTGGGGAGGATGAGCAGGTCCATTGTGTCTTGTAGAAAGCCACACCTCAATGCTGCATGACTAGTGGCCTTTGAGAACCAGAACTGAGGTGAAGCTGCCTGAGCTCCTTATGCACATATGTAGGACCAGTGTCCCTGCACAGAATCCCCCAGTGAGGGGCTGGGGTGTGGCTCAGTGATAGAGCACCTGCCTAGAATCCCCTAGTAAAGGGCTGGGGTGTGGCTCAGTGGTAGAGCCTCTGCCTAGAATCCCCCAGTGAGGGGCTGAGGCATGGCTCAGTGGTAGAGCCCCTGCCTAGAGTAGTTTTGATCCTTATTACCTCTGCCAGATGTTGAGGAGCTGTGGGGAGTGCACCGAAGACTGCTGTTAATGCTTCCTTGCCTGTTTTCCTGGGAACTAACCTAATCACTGAGCCTCAAGAACACCCTGTAGAATAACATTAGTATAGCAGGATTAAGAGCCCTAGAGGGAGCCGCGGGGTCTAGTGTAGGTCCGCGGCTGGCTGGAGCTGAGGGATACGAGTGGGTTCATCTCCTTTGTTATTCTAGCACCATCTCCACTCAGAGCTTCCCATCATGCAGCCTGTGTGGGGGTGCAGCTGCTGTTGCCCAACTTGGCTCTTCCCCATTGCTCCCCAGCCTTGAGTGTGGACACCTGTGCTCTCTATCTATCTGAGCCATCAGCCTCCTCCTGTCCCACTGGACTTAACCGGGACTATTACAGGAGCAGGGTGGGATGGGCAGAGCCCCAGGGGGCAGTAGAGTGGAGGCAGCACAATGTCTGGAAGCTGGTAAGGCCTGGAGGACCTAGGAGCCCCTGACCACAGCTTCCGGCTCCTTTTTAGGGTCCAGATCTGCCGTCGTTGCAGAAGAGGGCAGGTGGCGCCGAGCAGGTGAGTCTCGCTGTCCACAGGCTTCTGGAAAGCCCTGGGTCTCTCAGCCCCATTCTCAAGGCTGGCTAATCTGAAATTCTCTCTTTTGCCCACTCCCACCTGATACTTTTCTCAGCCTGAAGCAGCAAGACAAGAGTTTTCAGCTGTCACATCCAAGGCAAGCTATCTCCTCCCCTGACCCCCTGGCGTAGACACCACCCTTTCTCCTGGTCTCTGACTCTCACCTCCCATATCACACTTGAGGAGCTGGGACAGGGACCAGGGAGGGGGAGGAATGACCCGATGGAGTGGTGTCCAGTTGGCTTTGTGTGGTAACGTGAAAGAAAGGCCACGTTACAAGGAGGGGCCACAGGGTGGGCTTCTAGGAAACCTGCTGTCTGGGTAAAGAAGTGGGGTGTTTATTACAGAATGGAACACCATCGTCCCTTCTCCTCTGAACCCCATGCACTTCTTGTTTTCCCCAGAACTACTACAATAACCCACAGGGGAATCCTACTTATAACTGGCAATACTATACCAAGGCCACCACTGCCAAGGTGAGTCTTGAAAAAGCATTGCTCTCTGTCTGTCTGTCCATCCATCCATCTATCTCTGTGTCTTTTTGGAGCACAGAGAGACTTGCTTCCTTCCTCCATTACATCACTTTATGAGGGAGAGTCCAGCGCATCTCCCTTCCCTGCCCTGAGACTAGATTGGAAGTAGGTGCACGGGTGAAACCTGGGCAACGAGATGCTTCCAGATGGACAGATTACAGGCGCCAGGCCAAACACACAGAGTTGCTTTGTGTGTGGTTTTCCTGTCCTTTGTGGGACAGCAGCTGGGGCAGAGGGAAGTAGCCCAGCTCATCCTACAAGCCAAGTTTAGGGACTCTTGGTTGGTGGGAAACTTATTTCTTCTTGCCTCAAAGGAAATAATAATAATAATAATAATAATAATAATAATAATAATAATGGAAAGGGGCACTTGAGAGGCTTGTTTTGCATACTTGCAGACAAGGCAGACTTAGGGGCCCATGAACTGGCTCAGCTAGTAAAGAGGCTTGCTGCTAAGCCTCACAACCTGTGATCAATCCCCTGGATGCACATGGTGAAAGGAGAGGGCGGACTCTTCCACGCTGTCCTCTGACCTCCACATGTGCACTCTGGCCCATATACATACATATACAAAATAAACAACAAGAAACCAGAAGTCAGTCTTAGGAGATCGGGGTGTGGCTCCACAGTAGAGTGCCCATCGAGCAGAGGAAAGGCCCTGGGCTCAATTCCTAGCAATGCAGCCAACCAGCCAACCATTCAGGAAATAGGCAAGGTGACATTATTATATCAGAGAGAGACTATGGTAGACTCTAATTAGGCTCTCAAAGAAAAGCCAGGCCAGGGACTTCCTTCGATTTCTCAGACAGTGAAAGCCCTGGGCAAAGAACCTGCTTCTAAGATTAGAGAACTCTTAGCCTGGCGACCAAACATCCCAGTCACCTGGGTTGGGGTGGGGATGGTGACTGAGGCAGGAGGATTCCAGAGTTCACATCTAGCCTGGACAACTTGGAGAGAGTCTGTCTCAAAATATAAGGATCAAAAAAGGGCTAGGGACATAGCTCAGCGGTAGGACACTTGCCTAGTATGTATGAGGCTCTCTGGCCTCTGTCTAAGGTTGACTTCCACCATCCCATGAACAGGGGAGATCTGCTTCTCCATCGTGTTGTGTGGTGTTTGGCGACCATTATTCAGTATCATCCTGGATTAAACACATGCTGTGGGGGAAAAATCATAGACTGAATATCTGCAGCCAACCTGAAGGACTTAGCTGAAAATGTTGGCTTGTGTGCGCATGTGTGTGGGGTGTGGGGAGGGGGCCCTTGGGGAACCTGAGGCCAAGGTAGAGCCTAACGAGGGTTGCCATGACGCTGTGTCACCTCCTTCGATCGTCTCTTTTCCAGGGAGCAGTCACACCTTCATCGTCCTCGGTGAGTATGGGGGCTTGAGGAGATGCAGCTGGAGACCAGGGTACCCGAGGCTGCTGAGGGTGGAGGTAACAGTGTGATGTCTGCTCAGCTATTCTCCTTGTCCTGCAGGCTTCCCGGGCACAACCTGGCCTGCTGAAGTGGCTGAAGTTTTGGTAGGTAAGTGTCCAAGTGTGTAGCACGAATTCTAATTGGTCTTAATAACAAAAACCTGGACTCTGATATTAGGGAGTGAAAGCTGAAAGATCAGAGAAGCAGAGCAGCCAGCCACTAGTTCTTACCTCTTTGAAATCCTCAGACCGAATGGGGTATCCCGTCTCTACAAGTCCCCAGACTGAATGCTGAGCTGCTGTCTCCTCCAGCCTTATATTCCTCTCTCCGCCCAGCTATATCCCTTCCTGTCTCCACCTCCCTAGTGTTGGGATTAAAGGCGTGTGACTCCCAAGTACTGGGAGTGTTGGGATTAAAGGTGTGAGCCACCACTGCCTGGCTCTGATTCTCTTTTAGACTGGATAGATCTTGTGTAGCCCAGGGTGGCCTTGAACTCACAGAGACCCATCTACCTCTACCTCCTGAGTGCTGGGATTAAAGGTGTGTGCCAACACTGCCTGACCTCTATGACTAACTAGTGGCTTAGCTCTGCACACTCATCTTCAGGCAAGCTTTATCTGTTTGAGCACAAACAAAATATCCCAAGAGTGGGCCACACAAGACTGAATGCCAGGAGTAGAGTAGCCTCTTCTTAGGCAGGCTGGGAGCGGGGCATTTCTTTGGACCTCAACAAGCAGCAGCAGCAGCAGCAGCAGCAGCAGCAGCAGCAGCAGCAGCAGCAGCAGCAGCAGCAGCAGCAGCCCAGTTTCCTCGGGGTGGATACTGAAGAGGGATTAAGAAGAGCACCCTCCTTGTGGGGCCTGGAAAACGGTTCAGGCTGTCTATGAGTGAGAGAGCGAGGGCAGAATAAAGGGCTGACCAGAGAGGGACAGCAAAAGTACAGGACCAAGGAGAAGGCTGGCCTGTGGTACCTGGTACCTACAGACGTGCGAGCCTTTCGGGAGGTAAAGGTTCAGAGGCACGGTGAATTAAGACCCCAGGATGGAAGTTTATTGTTCTTGGTGGTGTTCTTTTTCACATTTTTGAGACAGGGTCTTTCTATGTAGCTCAGGGGGCTTCAGACTCCTAATTCTCTCACCTCAGCCTCCCGGGTGTGGAGACACAGGTGCACACCACCATGCCTGGCCTGGAAAAGTGGTTACTGAGTACCCTAGTGAGACCACAAAATTTGTTTTCTATAGAAGTATAAAGGGGGGCGGGGATTGAAAGTGGACGAGGTAGGAATCTTCATGGAAGGGTTCGCTCTTTATCGATGGGCGGGTATGTGTGTGTGTTATATCATCTGTTTTTCTCCTCTTGCATCTTTTTTTCTTCTAGAAAATTCCTTCTAGTCACTGCTGACGCTTCAAGAACACAGGTCTTCAGGGAGCTTGGCTGTACTTATCCACAGTTCTCTCTACTGTGCCAGACCCACCTGGGTGTTGACACCCCATCATCCCACCTGGGGACCTGGTTTGACTGTCCTCATCCTCCCCGTTCAGCTGTGGTGTCTCGTTGATAACCAGCCAGTTTCTTCCCTTTGTCCTGTGTGCAACTGGAAGTTCCCCCAACAACGCAATAGGAACTCCCTTCCTTCAAATCTTCCTGTGGAAATAAAACATGACTTCTTCGTTTTCCTTAGATTTCTCAACTTGTTGTTCTTTAATACGAATCTGCCGACCAGGGTGTAGGTGGATGGAAAGGTGGGTCGGTGGCTGAGCACTTTTCTCCTGGGAGTGGAATGAAAGATGTGAGTGACTGGAGAGACCTGGGCTTCAGTTTGGGTAACACGGGTCGCAGCTAGCTCCCAGCTTTCTGCAAGTTTCTCCACCTGCAAAAACAATTTTTGCCTAACGTACAAATACCACGCTTACAGTGAAAGATCCCCATACTTGAAAGACCCCCGTGCCCATGTACTATGTTAAACTCTGCTGAAAATTTAGCTGGGCCCCCGGGCTCAGCTGATGCTAAAACTGGATATCTATGGGTTGCAGACTCACTGACTAGGCTAAGGAGAGAGACAGAGTGCTGTATCTAGCTTTGTGGTTTTTCGGGACTAAGGAGAAGGGATACTCCACCCCCCACACACAAGATATCCTATCTAAATTGTCAACTCGCTGCAGGGTGTTTTATCTTTATGTTTTTTTCGAGGAAATTCGAGAATAGACATGGGGCCATTCCCAGGATGAGCTAAGCCCACCAATTTGAGAGCCAATGAAATGCTTGTGCTATACTACCCTCTTATGTAATCATTTTTCCCTATAAATATGGCTGTTTGAATTTTCCCCGGGTGTGCATTGGCGTAAGCTACTGTTGCACCCACAGGCGCCTGTGTAATCAATCAATAAAGACACCTCTTGCTGATTGCATCTGTTGGCCTGAATTATTGAGACTGGGGGATTTTTCCCACCGCCCTTGAAAACGAGGGTTTTTCAACAGTAGCTGTAGATGTTTGGTGGCCTGAAAGGGCAATAGGGCAACAGCTCAAAGAAGGAGGTCGCAGTCAGGAGACTGTTCAAAAAAAACCGGCAGTTTTGGGGGTGGAGATACACGGGGGCAGGGCGAGATAGAACAGCAAGGACTGGTGGAGAATATGTCGGGGCACGTCATGGTTGCGCGGGGACGAGCAGATGGTGGCAGTGGTTAGGAAGCTGGGGAGTGAAGGGGGAGCCAAAACCACTCCCTTGCCATGAAACCACCTCTGTGTTGCTGAGGAAGGCCGGGCGGTGACCCAGAGGAAGTGGCGCGGGCCCTGGGCACAGGCTGAGAAGCCCAAGGGACAGGGATAGGCAGCTCTGTGTTTCATGGAACTGGTACAGGGTGCCTAAATGGAGGAGCCCCTATCACTGTCCTTCCACTCCCGATATCCATGCAGGGGAGCAGGAAGCAAGAGAAAGACAAGAAACCATGACAACTTTGTGGGTCCTGAGCCGTCTTCAAGCTCGCTAAGTGCTTGGCAGCGCTGTCTGCGGTTGTAGTTAGACACAAGGTTCGAATACGTTGTGAATCGGTGAAAGAAACCTGGCCCTAAGCTGACTCAGGAAAGCCACCTGATCAAACCTACATTCCGGAGCGGAAATCATGGTTTACTCCTTCGCTCTATCTTCGCCTTAATTTGGTTTTTAAATCGAGTCTCTGGGGTGTTCATCTACCTGTACTGAGGGCTTTGCAGTACCTCACCACAGCCACATGGGGGCAGACGAGAGTCCGAACCTGGTAGAAATCCTGGTTCTCGCTTGACAGGGCTTCCTGCTGTGCGAATGTGACTAAGAACTGGTTGGGAACCCAGGTCTCCTAGGGCCAATTAACGAGGATCCCTATGGCTTCCGACTCTTAGGGGACGTTCCTGGTCCTTTGAAGTTTAACGTGAGGTTGTCCGGTATAAGGGGCCCTCCAATAATGGGCAGTGGTCCCTTGCTCCTAGCTCCCTTAGCTTTTGCTGGAGCCTCTGAGGTTCCAACTTTTAAGCTTCATTGGCGCTAGACAAGGTGGTCTATGCCTTCAAAGACCAGAACGTGGTGTGAGAGGCTTGCGAGGTGACAGAATAATTGGGTATTGGTATTTCTCTCCTTCTTCCCCCGCTTTTCCTCACGGAGTTTTTTTTTTTTTTTTGTGTGTGTTTGTTTGTTTTGTGTGGTTTTTCCGAGACCTGGCAATCCTGAAACACACCCTGTAGACCAGGCTGGCCTCGAATTCACTGCCTGCCTCCCGACTGTTGGGCTTAAAGTCGGGTGGCACCACCGCCCAGCTCCCCACAGAGCTGTATCTTCAACCTTCTTTTTACTTTTCTAATTAAAATGTTTCATTACATGTTTACTGTGTGTTTGTGTGTGCGTGCACACATGGGTACACACGTGCCACACAGTGTGTGTAGGTCAGGGGGATAACTTGCCAGAGTCAGGCCTCTTTTTCCCGGGATTCAAATTCAGACAGTATGCATGATGGCCCAGCTTTCGGGCGGTACGTTTTATTTCGAGACAGGCTCTCATCTGAGTTGCCCATGCTGGCTCCGTAGTACAGGCTTTGAATGCTCCTGCCTCGGGCACCAGGTCCAGCTCTCCCCACCCCCAGTAGTTAACTGGCCCGTCTCAGTTCACAGGCGCCTCCCTAGGACTTGGTCCCCCCCCCCCCATCCCTTTGTTTGCCTCCCAGCACCTGTTCCTATCCTCCGGTACTTGTTTGTTTTGTTAGGTGATTCTTTGCCTCCTCCGCGGAGCAGGACCGGAAGGGCTGGTTCTTGTCTTTCTTGACTTCCCAATACTGAGGCCTAAAGTGTCTGCTCAAGAAATCTTTATGGGACTGGAGTTCAGTGTCCTCGGGACCGACCCAGGAAGTCTTCCTGGGAGTTTAGGTTCCAAGTGGGAGGAGGGCGTGCTGCGGCTCTGCTGTTTCCCGGAGTGTGGTAATGATTGACACTGGCCGGAGGCCGTTCTCCCTAACTCTAATTGCCCTGCACCCTCTCCTGAGACTCTAGACCCCCGTCTCTCTCCAGGGATGCCCCCATCTGTCCCCACTGACTCTCTGGTGTGCGTCCCTAGCCCGGATACCCAGGAGGCTCTGGCCTCAGTACCTGTCATGGTGTAGCAATCAGGGCTGGGCCTCACCTCCTACCCACATTCAAGTTCTGTCACATTTGGGATGGGTCGGGGCAGGCGGTGAGAAAACAGGGGTTTACTGATGTTCTTGGAGAAGGAACGGGAATGACTCGACCTAGAGATGGGTCTTTCTGTATTCATTCAAAGCAGAGTGGGATCCTGGGAGACTTTCCCTGCTCCTCCCCCACTCCACGACTGAACTGTTGTGACGGCCCTTCCTGAGACCTGCCTATCCCTCCGCTCACTCTGTTGGACACTGGATACTTGGGGAGCACAAAGTCACCAAGGCACTGTGGATGGAGGAAGGCCAGGCGTGTGGAGAGGAAGACACATCAGTGCTTAGCACAGAAATCGGTTCACTCCTGAAATTTCACCAGGGAGTTGAACCTATCTTTCCAGCTGCTTGGGAGGCTGAGGAAGGAGGACGGAAAGCTCAAGAAAGTGTGTGTGTGTGTGTGTATGCACATGCACATCCATGCTTGTGTAAGAGAGAGAGAGAGAGAGAGAGAGAGAGAGAATTCACGCTCATTTGGTTGTAACACACAAGCTCATGTCAGGAGCCATCACTTAGTTGCTGAGACAGGGGCTCCCACTGGCTCACTAGTGGATTCCTGGGCTGCCTGGATAGTGAGCCCAGGAATCCACACACTATACAGCTTACGGTACAGCTCTTTTCATGAGTTCCAGGGATCCGACTCCAGACCTCGTGCGTACGTGGCAAGCAGTTCACTGACCGCACCATGTCTCCAGCCCCTGGTTTAGAACCCTGAACCTGTCACAAAAGATAAAAGAAGGCTGACGAGACGACTCGGCCGGTAGAAAGCCGGAACTGACTCCTGAGTTGTCTTCTGAGCTCCACACAAATGCGCACCTCCCACACGCTAAGTGTAAAAAAGAGAACAGCAAAAGAGAGCTGAGGGCGTCTGTAGCTCAGGAGTAGTTCTGCCGAGCACGGACAAAGCCCTCGGTTCAGTCCCCAGTACGTACAGACACAATGTTTGGATCATCTGGAAGGTGACAAGGGTCAGCAGACCGATGCAGCCAGCTTTGGCCTCTGCAAGGGGCCAGGATTCTTTGCGTGGAATACCCGAGCAGATGGGTTTGTGTTTAGGGGTACACGACAGCGACAAACACGGGGTCCAAGGTGGAGGACGATCTTTGTTTGGTCAAACTTTTCCGTTGTTTGTTTGCTGACATAGGATCTTGCCATGGAGCCCAGGCTGGACTCCAGATCTCCAGGCCCCTATGGCCACCACACCCAGCTAGAACATTACTTTGAAAGACGTACTTGGTGTGGGAAGATGGTTTTCTGTGTGGGACTTGTGGAAACTGAGCTAATTAATTGTAGGTTTACTGTAGGACACACAGTTGCCAAATGCCAGCAGCGCCCCCCCCCCATGCGCTGCTGCCCAGTCCTGCAGATTGGACTCAGGGCCTTTGAAGATGCTCTGTCACTGAGCCACACTCAAACTCCTTCATGGGTGGAGTCCAGGCACCTGAGCATGCTCTACCACCAAGGCACATGCGTAGCCCTCTTTGACTCTTCATTATGACACACGGCAGGCTGGCCTTGAATTCAGTCTACAGCCCAGGTACACCTTGAGCTTTGCATCCTCCTGCCTCAGCTCTGGAGTACCTGGATGACAGTCCTTCACCGTGCCTGGCTAGGTCGGTTCTTTTTGTTGGCTGAGAGCATCTGCCTGGATTCATTTAGATTAATACTTACATGCTTGGAGCTTAGGTCACAAAGCTCATTTGGCCGGAGGGGGGGGGCGGGGGGAGGCGGGGTGTGGGGGTTTACTGAGCCTGCCCTGCACTCTCTGGTCAGGGCTCTAATTCATACCGAATGCTAAAGCATTTTGAGAGACACTACTGCACGGGGAGCAATGGACTATCAGAGACCCAGCTCAGGTCTTGGAATCCCAGGGCCCTCACACTGGCCCTGCCACACACCCACACCAGCCACGCGACCTCGGTTGAGTTATTTAAGCTCCATATTTGCAGTGGCTCCCCCACCCACAGAATGTGGGTAATTATAGTGCCTATCTCCTGGAACTTCTGATAATTCGATGAGATCATGCCCTCAGAATATTTAGCACAAGGCCTGCCACAGCGGCAGAACTGGTAATGTTGTTGGTACCATAAGACGGAAAGGAAAACATCAATGAGATGTCAGTATGCTACGCCAGCCCACCACAGGGCAGAGTCCAGAGCCAAGCAGCGCCATGGCGATGTGGTGCTGGTGCTGGCTGGTCCGTGTTTGGGCACCGTGCATGTGCAGGCCTGTGAGCCAGGGAGGAAATCAGACTCCACCATTAGCATGTCTAAATGGAGCTGATTAGCATAACATCTGTTCTCGTCTGCGTCTCCTGCTTCTTCCAGGGCTTTTGTTCACACTGCCCTGACCCAAAGGCTCCCGTGAGCTGGGCAGGCACTGCTAATTAGTTAAACAGAATGAATCCACCTTCTCACAAAACCCGTGTCCTCCAGAAAACCCTCTGGGAGGAACTCCACCCACCTCACTTTATTCTCTTTCTTTGTCCCCTCCAGGAGCGTCCACAGTCACTCGGTCATCCTGCAAAGTGGGTGTTCCCCAGGCTGTGTCCTCCTGTGGCTTTGGCAAAGTGGGGGACGCTCTGTGCCTACAGGAGAGGCTTTGTGAGGCAAACGAGGTCCTGGGAGGTGAGGACAGCAGGGGTTCATAGAGATTCCTCAGGAATGACTCGAGCCCTCCCACCCAAGGCCCGCTGCCTCAGGTTGCGGTAAGGAACCCAACCCTCAGATAAGGGGTTGCTCTGCCAGAACAGCGCTAGTCTCTGTCCTGGTACCTCCTTGTGACACCGGTTGGGCCATCTGGACCTCATTGCAGAGGTTGCATCATCGAGCTGTTTTGCCACTTTGAGGTGATCCCACTCCCGCTAAGGGTGGGGTGGGAAGTGGAACCTTTCAGGGAGCAGATGCTCAGAGGTCAGGCCAGCACAGATGCTCCTCCAGCTCCGTCTCTGGGACACTTGTTTCTGCTCCTCTGTGTTTCTGGTTTCCTCATCTTCCTAGGGTCATCTTAATCTAAACTCCCAGGAGCAACACCTGGGTAATAATGCAGGGTCCAGGCCAAGAGAGGAGAGTGCAGAGCTGGACCAAAGGACGAGTGGATGCAATTCTAATGCCCCAGTCTCCACAGCATTGTGTGGAAGGCGCGGTGCTAATGGAGAGAAAGGGGATTCGTGCACAGTGCCTGGGCCGGGGCTACAGCTCAGTTGGTAGAGTGCTTGCGTAACATGCAGTTTACACAACATGGGTTTGAGTCCCAGCATCACATAAACCAGATGTGGTAGTGCAAGGCTGTAACCCCAGCTCCCAGGAGGTGGAGGCAGGAGGCTCAGAAGTTCAAGGTCATCCTTGGCTGTGTAGTGAGTTTGAGCCCAGCCTGGATAGATAGAGAACCTTGGAGATATATCTCTGTCTGTCTGTCTATCTATCTATCTATCTATCTATCTATCTATCTATCTATCTATCTGCCTATCTGTCTGCCTATCTGTCTGCCTATCTATCTATCTATCTATCTATCTATCTATCTATCTATCTATCTATCTATCTGCCTATCTGTCTGCCTGCCTATCTATCTATCTATCTATCTATCTATCTATCTATCTATCTATCTATCTATCTGCCTATCTGTCTGCCTGCCTATCTATCTATCTATCTATCTATCTATCTATCTATCTATCTATCTATCTATCTGTAAAGTATGCTTCTCCTACTCACATGTCCACACAACACACACATGTATGAGGCTTAGTATTTCAAGAAAGAAACAAGAGAAATTAAACTCAGGCATGTGTGTGATTCAGAGAGATACAAACAGTTCTGAGAAGGGATAGGTAGGGATAATGGGAGCAGCCAGGGAAACTTCACCCACAGGGGATGTTGAATTCTGAGAACTGGAGACAAACAAAAGGCACTTTAGGACTGAGGGACGGTTTAGGTCGCCGTGGTGATGTCTGTGAACAATCGCAGTACTTGGGAGGTCGAGGAGGAGGATCAGGAGTTTAAGGTTATCCTTGTCTACATAGTGAGCCAGCCTGGGCTACACGAGACCCTATTTTAAAAAACTGCAAGGAAAGGAAGGAAGAAACAGAGAGGGAGAGAGAGATGAGAGGCTCAGACAGATGCCTGGAAGAGGAAGGGGCGTGCTTGGGAAGGAGTCCGATTTAGCCAGCATATGGGGTATGTGAAGAGGACAGAAGAGAAAAGTCGGAAGGGCAGGTGGAGCCTGCAGTGTGGAAGGCCTTATACCAGTCCAAGGGCTTTAGAGGGATTTGTCAGGGTGGAGGCACACAAGCGTGAGGGATAGAGAAAAAGAGGCAGATGCAGAAGGCGCGCTTGCTTGTATGTCAGCTCTTGCAGGGACAGGCCTAACCTGTCTCCATCCCATCAGCTTGTGCATGGACAGACCCATGGCAGCCTCATCTTGCAAGAGCCTGGGGAGGAATGAGAGTTGAGAAATCACAGATATACTGGGAACAGTCTATGCCTCCCCCTCCCGGAGCCTCAGGGGTGGGTGACATGATAGGGGGGTGAGTCAGTAGGGTGGGAACCCTATTCATTCTCATAGCCACCTCCTTGCTAATATAAAGGGCCACCAGCGAGGCCCCGCCTCAGAGCACCCCAAACCTGACACCATGAAGATCCAAATTCTTCCCGCCGTGGCTCTCCTCGCTCTTTTGGCGTTGCATGCTGCCCAGGGAGCTGCCCTGGGGGGTGCCGAGGTGAGCACCCCACCTGCATTAGCCTTTCTTAGACTTGTCACGCAGCTGTCCCTTGGGGTTTCCTGCCCATTGCTGGAGAAGTAATTCTTATTTGTTGGATGGATTCTTGGAGCTGGATGAGAAGTTGGGGTTCTGAGGGAGGGAGGAAGGAAGCGGGAGAGCATGGGCATGTAGCTTGGTGCAAAAGGAGGGAGGGAACAGTAGAGAACAATTCTGGGAAGACCTTTGGGGCAGCAATGTTTATATATCTGGAGAGAATGGTAAGGTGCAGGGTGGGGGAGCTGGAAGCTGAGGTGGGTCGTTGGGATCCCCCAATCCAGCCTTCCTCTCTAACATACTGAGTAGCTTCCAGATGAAGGCTCCCTGCTGGTCTAGACTCCTTTTGGGTCCCTGGACAGAGAGGACCCTCAGAGTTCCTCTGCCTCTGTCTTCTCTTTAGAGAAGGAAGAATGTTCTTCTTGGGTTTAAGGATCTAAGGCAAGGGGCATGGGCTTAACTGGGTTTGAGCACAAAGCCTCAGGGAAACAGGATCTGCTTGCATCTCAAGGGAGCTGGAGGACTTTGGCAGGTCTATGGGGATTGGGTCTCTATGCCATCAGACTGTGGTTAAGTTGACAGAATATACCCACGGTGGATGGAGCCTTATACTTTTCATGAGAAACAGGAAATCTGTGTTTATTTATGAATTCTTACTTCTTAACAATTAGCCGGGCATAGTGGAGTACAACTGTGATTTCAGCACTTGAGAGGCTGAGGTAGGGGAATCAGGAGTTTGAGGTTCATTCAGGCTACATAGGTGGACCCTGACACACACACACACACACACACTGATATATATACACACAAGGCTTTTCTGTATAGGAAGGATATAAGTGGGCCTTTTAGTTTAATTCAGGCTAAAATGTCTTTTGATAAGATAAAGTCAGTTTAGTTTTAATTAAGAGTGTATGTATGTGTCTGTGTGTGTGCATGGACACACCAGAGCTGGCGGAGGCCAGAAGAATGTCTTATTTGTGGACCTGGAGTCACAGGCAGTTGTGAGACTCCTAATGACGGTACTGGGAACCAAACTGGGGTTCTCAACAGGAGCAGTAGGAGTTCTTAACCTCTGAGCCATCACTTCAGGCCCCTCCTGCCCGAACTTAATTCAAATTTAAAACAACAGTGCCAAACTGCTAAGCTCTGTGCACTGGGACCCTGCCCAGAGGGCCACGTGTTTGTGATCCCTGCCATGGGGAGGAAGGGATAAGGGGGTCAGTAAGGTGGAGGGGCAGAGTTTTTAGGGACTAGAAGAGGAGATTCAGCCTGTAGGGCAGGCGGCTCACCTTAGGGGCTTGGCTCCTGCTAGCACGCTGGTCTCCACCCAGCCGGGCCAACAAGCATGGGCGTTTTGGCACCTAGAAAATCAACTGCCAAACAATACTAGCTGGTTTTGTTAGCTGGGGTTCCTTCTCCACCCTTCCCATCCACTGCCAGCAACTGGGTGTCCTGGACGAGAATGGGGCTGGCACTGGGGCCCCAGTGAGAGACAATGGGCGGTGCCTCTTGGGGACCAGCTTACAAAGAAGGAAGAAGAGGGGGGCGTGCCAGGGAGAAGGGCTCACCAGGGTCATTTGTCTCCTCAGGAAGAGACGACCGTTGGCAATTACGCTGCGGGATCAGAGGTAAATACCTGTTTTCCCATACTCTCTGCTGTGTCCCCATCTCCGTCTCCTCCGTGACTTCCGTAACACCCTGCTTTTTTGCCTAGGGCTTTAACAGTCAGTTCCTGAACCTTGACAAACTACAGTCTGTGAGTATGATTCCCTAGCGTGGCACCCACGGCTCGCCCACCTCACAGAGGAGACCGCTTGCGAAGTTCCTGGGCCCGTCTTCCATCGTGCTGGGTGATGCACGGGGGCCTCTGGAACTGACTGGCTTCTGGCCTCTCTTTCTTCCCCCACAGGCCTTCAAGACTGATGACTTCCTGAACTGGCATGCCCTCACTGATGTGAGTCCTGAGGTTGTATTGGAGGCATGGAGGCATGGTGGAGCGTGCCTGTAATTCCAGCACTCCCGTGCCTGGGGTGGGAGGACTGTGAATCCAAGGCCAGTCTGGGCTACATAGTTAAGATCCTGACTTGAAACAAACCAACATTTTATCTGAGCCCTCTCATTCCTCATGAAGAAATGGGTTTGCCCAAACCAAGAAAGTTGATTCAGAGGCGCCCCCCAGATCTAGTGCCCTTGGCTCTGCGCTTTATATGTGACCCCTTGCAACCGCCTCCGTGTCTTCATCTGGGATGCGAGAGATGGAGGTGATGCTGGCCTGGGGAGGCTGCTCTGATGTCTAAATGAAGGCATGTTTGCATAGCGGCAGATGCCGGACAGACATGGAGAGAGGCTTCCAGAATGTGGGCTCTGACTGTGCTCATAAAGCCAGCCAATAGCAACGTGACACTCAGTGAGCGCACCAGTGTGTGATTCCAGTGAGTGGTCACCCATCCCTGCTGCATCAGTGAGCGTTTACTGATCCTCACTCATTTAGTGAGCATTTACTGATCCTTGCTCATTTGGTATTTACTGATCCTTGTTCATTCATTGATGGCTGCTTACTTGACCTCATTCTTTCAGATGTTCAAAAAGGCTTTACCTTTCATCAACTGGGAGTTCTTCCCTAAGGTAAGAGTGATGCTCATTCAGACGTGAGGAGACTGGGGTGAGGGAAGGGGCAGAGGATTTGGGAGGGGGTGTGGGGACTCTGAAGAAAGGAAGGCCCTTTCCCCACGGTTCAGAGCCATCTCAGATACTATATTCTGAAGATAATGGAAACTCAGACCAAGCTGAGAATTCTTTTCCAAGGAAGCCCCACCCATTCTGACTTTGTTATAGGGTTCCAACCCTGGGGGGTCCCCAATCTGACCTACACCCCTTGCCCTTCAGGTAAAAGGACTGAGAAGTGCAGTTCCTGATTCCCAGTGATCATTCTCTTTAAGACCTAGGACCTAGGCTGACCCCACGGAGAGGACACTAGCGTGGAATCCGACGTCCATTCTACGGCAAATCTCCCCTGGCTCAGTACCTCCAATAAAGTGTTTTTCACCAGTCTAGTGGCTCCTGGATCTGTGTTTCTGTCCTTATCCTACTGGGCTCTGGGGGAAAACGAAGAAGAATTAGTTCTGAGAGGACTGTAAGCAGATAGGTGGGAGGAAACGGGAAGGAATCCATCTTGCGCAGTGAGCTAACCTCCTAAGTCAAGTTCCTAGAGTTTATTCACGAGTTACCTGTCAGCTCGAGATGAGGGATGAGCTGGATCCACCTCTGCAAGAGTAACATATGGGAGCACTGAAGAGGTGAGGAAATCCGGCAGTGTTAGGAGTGAGGGATAGTGATTGGGGATGAGGGATGATGACTGCGGATGAGGGATGCGATGCTCCATTGAATTCCCAGGCTCTTAGGACGCCGGTCCAAATGGCATATTAGCCTCACCTGAGGGTGAAGTTTTTGACCAAAAGACACTTATGCAGGCCTAAATAAGAGAGTGGCGGCTTCAGTTGGTTTGAGTCCTATAAGACAGTCTCTAGATTCTTGTTCCCAGGACGACCATGATTAGAGGTGCTGCCTATAGCTACACTGGTTTGTGTGTGCATAGGGGAGAGCTGGCAGGGAGGATACTACTTTGTTGTTTAGCCAAGTGACTTCCAAAATCATGAGTGGAAGGTAGTAACCCTAGTCAGCTAGAAGCTGAGGGAGGGGGTTCAAGTTTTACAGAAAAATTTAAAAAGGATGATTGTGTGTGTGTGTGTTTGTGTGTCTCTGTGTGTGTGACCTCAGTGTTTTCCACTATTGGTTTCAGCTTATCTTTTGAGGCTTCTCACTGAACTTGGAGCTCATCAACACCCTAGACTGAGTGAATTCTCAGGGTCTGCCTGTCCTTCCTTATCCCACCCCTAGTACTAGGGTTACAGACATGCACAGCCAACTCCAGCTTTCAGATGGGTGTTGAGGACCTCAATGCTCACACCCTCATGTTTGTGTGATAGATGATTTACAGACTGAGCTTTCTCTCCTCCACCCTCTGGGTTTTAAACCTTAACTTGGGCAGGGTGTGGGGGTGCAAGACTTTAGTCGCAGGCTCAAAAAGGGAAGGAAGGAAGGGAGGGAGGGAAGACGGAAGGAAGGAAGGAAGAAAAGAAGGGAGGGAGGGAGGGAGAAACGAAGGGAGAGAGGAAGGGAGAGAAGGAGGAAGAAATGGAAGGAGGGAGAGAAGAAGGAAGGAAAAAAGGAAGGGAGGGAGGGAAGACGGAAGGAGGGAGGAAGGAATAAGAAACATAAACTTTCACTGGGAAGAGAGAATGACTCAAAGAGAAACAATTTGTTAATTTCATTGTGGGGACTGGTTCCAAATTTAAGTGATCAAGAGATTCCCTTGTGCTTTAGTATTGTCTGACCATCTCAGACATGATGAAGATATGTTCTTCTTAGTAAGATGCCCATCAATTCAAACTTTCTCCCTGACCTATGACACCATCCCCACCACCTTCTGAAAATATAAACACATTTGTGACAGTTTAGTGTGATGGAGCTGTCTGGAACCCAAGGTTCGGCACCCAGCTTAAATCATGTGACCCATTTAAAATCTCTTCCCTGCCCTTCTGTTCCCTTCCCTTCCCCTCCCCTCCCCTCCTTTCCCCTCCCCTCCTTTCCCCTCCCCTCCTTTCCCCTCCCCTCCCCTCCTCTCCCCTCCCCTCCCCTCCTTTCCCCTCCCNCCCCTCCCTTCCCTTCCCTCCCCTCCGCTTCTTTATTTCTCTCTCTCTCTCTCTCTCTCTCTCTCTCTCTCTCTCTCTCTCTGGAAAGTTGTAAGTAAAGAAACGAGTGCCGTGACTCTGGGCTGTCTCAGCTTGTGTGTATGTATCTGAAATGAGAGAAGGAATAAACAAGAGCGCTAACAATTACACTGTAGTCTTGCATCAAGGTTAAATGAAGTAAGCATAAAAAGTTCCCTTGTACAGGGCCCGACATACAGTAGACACTTTACTATCTGTCCTCTCCAGCTCCCACGTTCAACCAGAGACCTACCCACTGAGGCATTTCCTCACCCACCCACTCACCCGCCCATCCAGGCATTCAGCCTTGCACCTGTGAATCCTTCCACCCATCTATCATGCGTTTGTACATCATCCATTCATGCATCTAGCCATCCATCCATCATTCATCCATGTACCTATACTTCCGTGAATATCCATGCACGTATCCACCTGTGCGTGCAGGGACGGTTGTACATGCATCCGTCCCTGCATCCATTCATTCACACATCCATACATACTTACATGCATCCACTGACAAAACTCGGCATCTGCTCTCCTTGCTGGTCTATGAAATGAGTAGCCTATGGACACGGGTGGAGAGTCAGACCAACCACCACGTGTGCATGTGGGGGACCAGGTGGACCTGGTGAAGGGACAAGGGGAACTTCAGTCCTTGTCCAGGAATGGACTTGTCTGTTGGTGGAGTCAGAGCCTCATTGGAGCCAAGGCTGTGTCTTCTGGGGACCCGACTCTTCCCCTTGGGCTGTGGATATCAGTCCTTAGGCCGCTGTGTCGGAGGTGTCCCACATGCTCTTGGCTAACACTGTCTGACCTAGCCTTCTGCTGACCTTGGCCGTCTCTCCCCTGCAAACAGTACAGAGGATGCTGTTTGCTCATTCAAGACGTCCCAATCACCTGCTCCGTCTTCTATCTTCTCCACCATTCTCCCCCCTGTCCCCGTCACCTTCCCGTTAAGATCCTGTCACTGAAGAACAACCTGCTGGCCCAGGTCACACATGTGTTTACAGGCTTCCCTCTGGTTAACTAACAAGGATACACAAGTGAGGAAACTATAAATGAATGATCATTACAGAAAAAGATACACAAGATCTGCCAATACAATACACACAAAAAAAATGGGCACTCAAAAGTATGGAGAAGGGGTAAGGTCTTTAAAAGACATTCATTGAGTGATGAGATTTTAAAAGGAAGAAAAGGGGGGGTCTTAAAAACATGTCAATCAACCCAAACTCAGAAACTACGGAAGTAAAAATGACTTTATTTGGGGCCTTAGAAATTGTACTTAGGAGACACTGGTTCAGATGGTCTCAGCCAGACTTCCGAGGATGGAAGCAAAGCGGGAACTCATATGTGAGAACGAACGAGGAGATGTCTGACTGATGGGAGATAACGAGGTGTAGCTGGGCTTGATGTCAGGAGCCTGAAGTCCCAGAACGTTCCTCCCCTTTTCTTTCTTTTTTTTTTATAGTTACAGTTTTCTTTTTTGTGTGTGTGTTTTAAGATTTTTATTTATTTATTTATTAAAGATTTCTGTCTCCTCCCCGCCACCGCCTCCCATTTCCCTCCCCCTCCCCTAATCAAGTCCCCCTCCCTCATCAGCCCAAAGAGCACTCAGGGTTCCCTGCCCTGTGGGAAGTCCAAGGACCACCCACCTCCATCCAGGTCTAGTAAGGTGAGCATCCAAACAGCCTAGGCTCCCACAAAGCCAGTACGTGCAGTAGGATCAAAAACCCATTGCCATTGTTCTTGAGTTCTCAGCAGTCCTCATTGTCTGCTATGTTCAGCAAGTCTGGTTTTATCCTAGGCTTTTTCAAACCCAGGCCAGTTGGCCTTGGTGAGTTCCAGATAGAACATCCCCATTGTCTCAGTGTGTGGGTGCACCCCTCGCGGTCCTGAGTTCCTTGCTCGTGCTCTCTCTCCTTCTGTTCCTGATTTGGACCTTGAGATTTCTGTCCAGTGCTCCAATGTGGGTCTCTGTCTCTGTCTCCTTTCATCACCTGATGAA